CTCAACCCCCAGTTTGTATGTATAACCAGGATTATCCCATCGCAGGTGGAGAATCCAGCACTTGCTCATGTTAAATTTCATATGGTTGCCAACCGCCCAGCTCTCTAGCCTATCCAGATCTCTCTGAAAGGCCTCTCTATGCTCAAGGGAGTTTACAGCTCCTCCTAGTTTACAGTAAACAGCTCCTCCTAGTTTAGTGTCATTGGCAAACAATGTAAATTTAATTCCTGCATCCAGATAATTGATAAAAACATGAAAGAGCACTGGTCCTAAAACTGAGCCCTGCAGAATCCCAACAGTGATTGGCCACCGGACTGATGTAACCCCCTATAACCTTTTGAGCTCAACCCACCTGCCAGTTGCTCAGCCAATGTCTTACAGACTTTTCTAGCTCTCTGCTGGACATTCTGTCCAGGAGGATACTGTGAGAGACAGCATCAAAAGCTTTGCTAAAATCCCAAACATGATCTACTGTCTTCCCTTGGTCAACTAGATGTGTGACCTTGTCATAAAAGGAAATTGGTTAATCAGGACTTTCCTTCTGTGAACACATGCTGGCTATGACCAATGACTCTGTGGTCTCTCAAGGGTTTTTCAGTAACTACTAGAATAACGTTCTCTATAATTTTACCCGGCACAGAACTGACAGGCCTGTAACTACCAGGATCTTCCTTCTTATCCTTCTTGAAAACTGGGAAGAATTTGAAATCTTCCAGTCAGCTGGGACTTCTCCAGACTCCCAAGACAGTTGAAAAATAATGGAAAGAGGTCCCATGATGACATCAGTCAGCTCTTTCAGCTCGTTCATGGGATAAACCCTATTGGGCCCCACAGGTTTATGCATATCCAGCTGAAGAAGCAAATATCGAACAACTTCAGGCTCATTTGGGAGTTTATCTTTGCGCCAGGAACAGCCATCCAACACAGGGCTCTGGGGGTCCCAGGGCCCATCATCCATGTTGAAAACAAAGACAACATTAAACATCTCCACTTTGTCTAATTCCCTGTTTGTGAGGTGACCAACCTTGCCACGCGACGGACCAATGTTATCTCTGATTCTCCTTTTGCTATTAATGTATTTATAAAAGCCCTTTTTGTTGTCCTTCACAGTGCTAGTCAGCTTGAAATCTAATGGACCTTTGGTTGCAAGAATTTTCTCCCTACAGTGGTGAACAGCACCTCCCTATTCCTGCAGTGTCATTTGCCCTTGCTTACAATGTCTGTACACTTTACTTTTCCACTTAAGTTCTAGAAGATCCCTACTCAGCCAAGCCTGCTTTCTGCCCTGCTTGCTTAACTTCTGACACTGTGGAATTGTCTGCTCCTGTCCTCTTAAGGGATGGCTCTTAAAAAATTGACCATCATTCATGGACCCCAATACTTTCAAAAGCAGATTCCATGGGGACCTTACTAACTAGCTCCTCAGCAGCCCAAAGTTTACCCTCCCCATATCTAGAGTTGATGTTTTGCTGGCAGTTTTTCTGCTGTAGCCAACAATTTGAAACTCAACTACTTCATGGTCACTGTAACCAAGAGAGCCACCGATCACCACTTTGCCAACAAGTCCCTCTGTTTACAAACAACAAATCTAGGAGGGCAGCTTTCTCAGTTGACTCCTTTAGTACCTGCACCAAGAAATAATTTTCAACATGTTTCAGAAATTTCCTGGACCTCTTTTGGTCCACTGTATGGTATTTCCAGTTGATGTCTTGGAAGTTAAAATCACCCATGAGGACAAAGGCAGTTGGATCTAGAGATATCTCCTAATTTCCTGTAGAATAATTCATAGATGTCATCATCCTGGCTGGGTAGCTTATAATAGACTCCCATAGCAACATCTGCTTTATTTGCTTTCCCCTTCATCCTTACCCAGAGGCTCTCAACTGTGTTGTTGACAACTGTAAGCACCACAATCCAACCTCTCCTTTATATACAGCACTGCCTCCCCAGCCTCGCCTGCCCGCCCTATGTCTCGTCTATAACTGGCCATTGCAGCACCTCAGTCATATGACTCATCCCACCAGGCTTTGCTTATGCCAATGACATAGTAGCTCTGGGACTGGGCCAAAGATTCTAGCCCTTCTTGTTCATTCCTCATGTTGCATGAATGAGTATGAAGACATTTCAAACATCCTCCGGCGTACTCAGCACATTATGGGGCAGACTGAAGGACCTCACTAGTACACTGTCCCTCAAACACTGGCCTACCTCCACAGGGCTTATCTCTAGTGAGCCTGGTTTTACCCCTTTCACCTTTCTAATATAGTTTAAATCTCTTTCACTGAGCCCTGCTAACTCCTGTGCAAAAATCCTTTTAACACCTCTTTAACACAGCAAGGCAGCAGACCTACTAAGAAGTGGGTCCAGCCTTTATATCAGGCCTTCTGTTCCCCTCAGAAGAGACTCTTCTATGATAATGACCCAACTTTTTTTTTCATTTACTAAGTGGTTTTGATGCAGAGGGTAGGCTGACTTGTGGATGCCCCATCCCTGGAAGTGTTCAAGGCCAGACTGGATGAGGCTTTGAGCAACCTGGTCTAGTGCAAGGTGTCCCTGCCCATGGCAGGGGGTTGGAACTAGATGATCTTTAAGGTCCCTTCCAACCCAAACCATTCTGTGATTCTATGATTCTATGACTTAACCTTGGTGACACCCCTGACCTAGGTGAACCATCATCTTCATCATTGTTTGGTTCCAATTGCAGAGCCTATTATGCAAGAGCACCTGGGAAGATGGGGTGGTCACAGAGGAGACTCACTTGCTGAGCCAGGTAGGAATTTGTTACCACTGCCCACTATCCCTTAAGTCACCAAGTTGAGCGAGGTGGAGAGAGGATAGGGAATCCTCCATCCATATCATGCATCCTGTCTGCCTGACAGGCCTGTCCCACAAAAAGTAAGGTGTGGGTCCAATAGTCTTTCTCTCTCTCAGGATCCCTGATACTCCTCAACCTACTCAACTTCTGGAGCTCTACCACTAAGCAGAGGTGGTTGGTTACGTGAACTTGCCTCCCACAATTGTGCTCAGTATAGCCAGCTCGTACTGGCGTCAGAGCAGGGCACAGCCTACAGCCAGACGCCTGGGTGCCAGCCTGTTCCCACCAGATCTGTCTGGGAACCTGCATCAGTTGTGGCAGGTGCAGAGTTTAGAGAGGACGTGGCCTTCTGTTGTGCGGATACCATTGATCCCTGGTTGAACTGGCAGAGCTTCAGCACCCTTCCTGCATGACCTGCTGTGCAAACTGCTGTGCCACACCTTGTTTGCCTGCCCTGTTTGTGGCATAGTGCTCCCTAAGGGCTACTTTTACACATGGAGGGGCTTGGCTGCTCTTGCTCCTGGCCCTGCCCAAGTCTCATCAACCACTGTTACACAAACTGCGAGCTCCTGGCAGGTCTCTCTGCTCCTTGGAGATTTCCCTGGTTGAGGAAACCGACTTGTACCCCACACCAGAGCACTGTGCTGTGGATCATGCAGTCACTGAAGCTGATCGCCTTGGCATCGAATTTATTACGTGGAGATAATGTGCCAAGTTTAGATAAAAGTAGTGATTAGCAAAGTCTCAGCTGTGCTGTAGAAATACCTAATGTATGTCATTCTTTTTCTCCTGCATAAGTAGTTTAAAGCAATGCCTTTAACTTTGCATAGGGTAATACTTTTGGAAATAGTAAATGATATCTTAATCTCAAAGCCTTCTGCACTCAGTTAGCTATTCCATTGCTTATCTCATACGAAGTGCTGTACTTGTCATTGAAAGGTTTCATGGTAGTGCGCTTCTACAGAAGTGCCTCTATTTCACAGCAACATGAAAAAAAGAGAGTGAGGGCGAAGAGTAATTGACAAAGGCCACACAACAAAAGGACTTGTATAACACAACAGGAAAAAGAAAAGTCAGAAGGTATTAAGAACAACAGTTTCTTTGCAAACTTTATTTGCTGAATTCATTAGCCAAATAACAAGCAGTATAGTTAGTCTAGCCACTAAGGGTGTGATGGCAGCAATGAAATGTGAGGGGGTGAAATTACAAGCATCACCAGAGAGGACTATTGCCTACTACACAGTTTTATTCTAAGAGCAAAGGACTCACAAATACACTCACCGTGACAAAGTCATGGATTTCCAGATCTCTTCTATATTTGTTTGTGTCAGCTCTCTACGGAACACAAGTTTGCACGCCGGTACTTCCCCTATAGCTATACTGTGGCGCTTGTACCACATCTCAGAGTTCTGAGAACAAAAAACACCTCTCATTAACTGGTGACTTTTTCAAGTATTAAATGGTGTAATACATTTATAGTACAGCATCCTTCCTATTACAAATATTTTAAATATTTCTAAATTCTGGTACAGCCTCCAGGATACAAGTGAGTGTTTAAGACACATGAAACATCTTTTCTCATTTAGGAAACTTGCTCAAAGCTGTCTGAATAGCCATTAAAATTCAAGAGTCAACGGCCTCTAGTTCTGAGTTCAGATCCTCTCTATCATTAAAATCAGTTCAACTCACTGGTTTTCAGCCACCACTCTAAGATTAAACTTCGGTTTAAGGAAATATTACTGGAGAATTATTAAACATTGATATTCATCTTTGTTCAGTGCATACTGATCATAACTATACATTGAGTTCATTAGAAGGTTCCTGTACATGAAGAAAGTAAACGCAAAAAGCTAGGGCTGAAGACACCCACCACATTTAATCCACCACTGTAACAGAATAAAGAGACTACTCTATCCTTTACTCAACCCTCCACATCCAAGCTTGACACTTGAAGATTGTCACAACATGTTGATGGGTGGACATACAGTACATTTGTGTCAGTAGTGTACTTTTCAAGGCAAAACTCCTAATCATTCCCAGTTCTTTGAGTTACATCACAGAGCAATCCTAGGGCACATTAACTGTGTTCCTTGTGATCACAACAAAACCACAAAATGCCCTCCAGGAATGTACTTAATTACTCTAAACACTGACCATCTGTCACTCCATGATACTAGACTAGAGCTAGTTCGGAACAAATAGCACCCTCTGAAATTAGTAACTGGTCTTCCACATTAGTATTTCACGACACAGACCCATGCCCACCCAGCCAATCGATGCCCTGATGGATGCTGGAGCAAGTTAAGGAGCCACTGCTTTCAGCTACCTGTCTACATCACCCTTCCAGTGTAAGCTGCACCTTTCTATAAAAGAGTCAGCAGAAAGAAGCTTATTTCTTTGCCTCAGTTACTTCAACTTATGGTCCACTGTATTAACCAACACTGCCAACAAATGAGATTTTGAGCGATGTCAGACCTTATGCTGTCACATCTGAGTCAGATGTACGCAGGCAGTCTTTTTCTAACTCTTATAAGGCCAGGATGCTTGGATGGAAATTTAGAGCAGGCAGTTGGAGGCTGTAACATGTTAAAACTGCAGCAGATAACTTGCTGGCTCTGTAACTAAAATATTCCATTTTCTTTACTTGTCTTTGGCACTATCTTTTCATTCTTCTCTCAACCTTCTACCTACTATTGAAGTTCTAAGGACTATGCCTTCTCCTCTTCAGAAACCTGCTGTACATAAAAGATGCACTTGAGCTACACGTAAGTAACTGCATTAGAAATAATGAATAACCATTCATTCAGGATCTTTAGATGTGCAGCAAAATAGTAGGAGCTACTTTTCCAAACAGATCACCATAAAATCCAAGGCTGGTGTCCCACCCTGATGGGCAGTACTAAAAAGGCCAAAACTATTGAAGAAGTCCCAAGACTTCACAGAACATGAGAACACTCACATACAAGATACACTGGAGGAAGGGTTTAGAATACACATAACTCCATAAGCCTACGCTTTTAAGATGTCCAGGTAGCAAGAGTTGATAAAATTTTGGTTTACTGATAAAAGCAATATTTTTCTCGACAACTTTACAGAGGCTGTATCAATGCAGGGAAGTAGGGGGCAAGCTGGTTCTCCAAGCTCACAAAGGGTGACAATGAAACCAGGACCACTTCTCCTTAGCTACAACATATTCCTTAAGAAAAAGTAAATGGAATTACTAACAAACTCATAGCAGCTAGGAAGGGAGTAATAGTGTATATATATATACGCTGCTACATGAAGTGTCAGCATAAGAGTTACAGTGTAAATCACAGACAAGTAACTACTTTGTCTTGTAGTATAATAAGTTCCCTACCGGAATTTGAGCAAACTACGCAAGCATACTGGCAAATACAGCCATGCTGAACTGAGGCTGCTCAGGACATCATAATCTGTAGCAGAAGGAACTCTCAAAGCTAACATCCCCAGCAAAATATTAAGGAAAACTTTACTTAACGTAAAAGTAGTTTGCATTTAGTTTTATAACCTAGTATTTTGTGCCACAATAAAGAGATCATTAGTTCAGTTTTGCTTTCCAAATATGCTTACATCTAGGGAAATGAAAACTGGATATCTTACCATTGTGACAGATTTCACTAGGATGTCTTCTTGGGAAGTACCAGCCTTCGGTTCATTCCAGTCTGGAAATTTAATGACTTCTTTTCCACATGAAGGTTTCTTTGGATATGGCCTCAGGGGTGAGGAAGGGGGAAATCTACAATTAGAGAATATTTTTTAAGCCTCTGAACTCCACCCTGTTCCATACTTACCAACGCAAATTGTAGTAGGCCTTCACATGCAAAAATACAACAAATGCCTTGCACATTCACAGTGCAACTTAGGTTTCTGAAGACTTGGTGTCAGTGACATGTAAAACACTCTAAGGTATCTTGCTTGGTTGGCTTCCATCTGCTGCTCCAGAACAGTTCAGGTCCTTCGTACTTCCCATGGCAGAGCTGAGCCTTGGGTGAACATCTGATGTGCCAGCACATCTCAAATAGCACCAGCTGCCTGTGCATAGACAGCTGGCTCAGGTCTTCACTGAAGATGTTGATTCCTCTAAAAAAGGCTGTGGGTAGATTTTTCCCATGCAGTGCTAGCATGCACCTCTTAAAGCAAAGCTACATAGCTAAGTCACAGGACTAACATTTGGATTTAATTAGTGTGCATGCAAGTGTCCACACAAAGTTTTGTCCACATTACCAAGTTCTTCTGTGTTTACATGCTTTCTGTGTGAAGGTCACACCCTGCAGTTCTTTACTGAAGCCTTTTTCCAGCTGGTTGTGCATTCATTTTTTAAGGCATTTCAAGAAGTGCCTCGAAAAAATTAGCAGAAAGAAACCCTAAGCTAGCCCTTGCAGAAAAGAAACCATCCCAGATCACATTCAGCTCAGTCGCATCTCCAGCTTGAGCAGAATTAAATTACTGCCAAACCTAGGTCAGAGAATGTACAAAGGAATTAATGGCAGCACATTAGAAAGACAAATCAGCTTGATGGCAACATATCATCAGACTGGCCCAGAGCAGATCTTGTTTACCTGCACTCCCAGGTTTCAGATGCCGAGATTCCTGATGCTTCAAGAAACTGCTTCATCATCGCTCACTCTTTTAATCAGAATCTAAAAGAAGGTTATGTCTGTGGCCATGCAACAAGAGCTTGTACACTGCTGTATAGCATGCATTTACATGCTACCAGAAAGACATTCATGCTCATGAAATCTTCAGGTTTTCTCTAAAATTTTACCTCATCCTCCCAAAGCAGCTCCAACATTTAATTAGTTTTTAAATTAGTTTTGTGGTACAGTTTCATTAATCCAGCAGTGTTAAACTGCATGGGTTAAGCATGTCATTGTTTTGACCATGCACACTGAGCCCATTTTGCATATTCCACAATGCTCTTCAACAGAATCTCCGCAACACAGGGAAATACCATTTCCTTCAGACAAACCCTGAGGAAAAGTAATAGGCACTTTGGAGCCATCCTGCAAGACTTACTCTGCCATTTAAAAGTAACCTAGTTTACACTGCAGATGTTCTGCTGTTGAGTGTTCTCAACTATATTTCAACTATTTGTTATTTTTTAGAGTTCAACGCTATGTCTGCAGCCTCCCCTGCCCCTTTGCCTTACAGTATTCTCAAGAATTCCCTGTTTCCCCTTCAGTTCTTCAACATTTTTAGCTTTATGTCATTTGCTGCCCTGATTCTCAACCAACCAGTAAACGAGTGAGTTCTTACCAGCCAAAAAAAGGAGGTGCATTCTCCTTTTTCAGGTAGCATTACGGCAAGATCTACATAGAGACAGATTTTTGGATAAGCCTTGAAAAGCCTCTGATTTTATAATGAACAGAATAACGTTACCTAAAGCTAACAGCTGAGGAGCATTACAAGGTTGATATGTCCAGATTAGCATGGTTTACAGCCAGCAACACTAGTTTTAGGAATTTGGACAAGGTGGAAATAGACATACTTCTTTATGTACAGGGCAATGCATCGAGAACAGGGTCAACTAACGTTAGTACCGAAGGTGTAACAAGTACCACAGATGAATTCCTAGGAGTTTACTAGCACTGCAAGAGTACTAAACCTTTTGCTTTTAAAACAATTGCCTGTAAAGCCTGACACCTTCCAAAACAGTAACTTCTCAATTATTATTTTATACTACACTGGCCCAGTAAGTCAGGACCCATAGACAGATAGTCAGCTATTTTCAGAAGCCGCACTAGTTCTCACCTTCACATTTAACACTTGTCCAATACTCTCAGGCAATATTTGGTAACATCTCTTTTGCATACTTTGTGGAGTAAAGAAGAGCAAACAATTACACTTATGTGGGAAGATAATGAATGACACAACTGTGTACCACAGTGTACAGTTACAGTAAAATAACACAAATTTATAGGCAAGATGTGAAGCATATCAGGGTTTCCAGAGTACGTGCTGTCAGTGGAATTAAAAGTGACTGGTACTGTTACCCGTAACAACACAGCCCCGAAAGCATGTAGCAAGCAACATTAGGAAAGTCCACCAGAGGGAGCTGCCAGGACACTAAATACCTAGATAAAGGCAGGCTGAAAAACAGAAAATTCACTCCATAGATAACGGAGAGGAGCATGTTTTAATACCTAAAGCCAAAGACCAAAACCATGAATAGCATATATAGTTTATTTATGCACCAAGCCAAGCAGGAAAAAGTTGGCTTCAAGATTCGTGAAAGGTATGCAGTTTTAATTAAAAAAATGTTTGATTAGTAACTTACTTATCTTTTGAATGTGAGGTGGAGAAAGAAGATCATTAAGGTAGCTATAACAAAAGAGCTTATTTGTCCAATAGCAAATCATTAGGCAGAGCACATAGAAAATGAAAAGCACAGAAATATTTCACCCAAACAAATTCCACAGCCTGCAGCTTCTCAGAGCCTGCAGTTCATTAAAATCATGGCTGAAAATAAAAAGGAGAAAAGAACAAAATAATTTGAATGTGTCACGATGCCAATACAAAGCAAACACACACAGACCACAACCACACAACCACAACAAACCACAACCAAAGAGACAGCATAATAGCAACTGTTACCAAACCCCATATTTAATCTTTTGAAAAAGAGTCAATGACCACAAAGAAAGGCAACAAAGTACCTAACACCTATGGCACCAGTGGAAAAAATGTGCAGGCAGTGCTGTCCTAAGAGGAACAGGCAAAGCAGGACTGGCTAGGAGCATGTCAAACCAATAACACCCCTACCACCATGTGCTGTACCAGCACCTAACTGCTTTTCTAACTCTATTTAAACAATTAAAAAGTCCATTCCACACCACACTTAGATTTAACTCTCCAGGCTGAAGTCCAGACATAGGATCCTCTGCAGCTCTTCCCAACTTCCATGCCTGTTTTCTAACCTGAACTAGTTGATGACTAGGTAAAGTACCACAATAACTTGCCCTGCTATAGCAGCCATAAGCAGATGGCCAGAGAAAAAAATCAAGAAGAGGACAAGCATTGAGGATATTCCCTCAGCATCCTTTCCCACCCTTCAGTTATGCTCAGCTTACAGACTGCAGAGACATATTGTTTTGAGATACTTAACAACAGACTTTCTTGGGTGAGCTTCTCAAAATATCTTCAGATGCAAGTCCATTGATACACTATGTCCTTCAAATTTATGCCCCAAATTCTAAAATGTAACACTTCCCTTGATTGTTAAATGGAATTTCCCTCTGTGGAGCTAAGTTCATAGAGAACTTTCATTTCTTCTTCCCCCCAAATTATTTAAAATTTCTTCCATTAAATTTGGTTGAAATTGGTTTGAATATTTAACTAATTCAGCAGAGAAGCTGTAATATTCAGTGCTGGTTCCTTCTGAAGGCAGGCTAAAAGCCAGCTACCACTTGTACTGAAAATATCACGCAGTATCACAAAGAATAAATTGAATCGGTTACGGGAGTTAAACACAAATCTGACTGTAAATCAACTGAATTACAGTAGAACAAGTTTAACATAAAACACAGCTCTTTTATAAGTATCTTAACCCAAGTTTGCTTATGAGAAAGCAAAGGACTTATATCATGCATACCTCTTTTAATATATTCCAAGTTAATAAATAAAATTAGGAGGGCAATGAATGACTGCACTTACATCATAGGCACACAGACTAGACAGTAAAAAAGTGTAGGCACACTGTACAAACCAGTTGAGAACATATAGCAAAATGAAACACTTGAATTCACCCACATCAAGTGGAAATTCAGTATGGCATACTTTTTCCAAAAGACAGTATCAAGAAATCGTTACACAAAACTGAATACATAAGATTTCTTTAAATATATGATAATAGATAAGTAGAAACAGATCATTATTGCTGACCTATTTTCCCTGTTGTTTTGCGTAAGGCTAAATCCCAGGTCCTCAAAAGAAGTCCCACAGTCACATAAGTTACAAATCTATACTTAAGGTAATGGCCATTTTTACACTACTTTTCCATTCAACGGGACCCTACAAGGCAGTACAAAACCAGAACCTGCAACTTCTGGACACCGAAACCTTAACTGAGGTCGCAGGAGAGAGGTCAAAGACCCCCCTCCAGTAATGCTAAGCTTTCATTACAAAGATAATTACTTTCTTGTTAACAAGCCACCAGCTGAGAGGCTCAGCAGGGATTAGTAAGCAGGCAGCTTTGAAGATGAGTGAATAAAAATTTGTCTAAGACAGTTTCAAGCTACAACCCAAGAAAAAGTTTATATCATGAATGACTTAAATTCAGAAGACCTTTCTCTCAGGAGTACAGACAGCATCCAAAATAGTAAAGAGGCTGGGGGAAAGGGCGGACAACTGGAGCTGGATGCTCACTAACATACTCACTTCCAGTCTCTTCTTGATTCGCACTCTTCCAACACTGATGCCTACCAACAGCAAACAGATCTCACTACCTTCTAAAAGCTGCAAAAGCTTTTGTTAGTATTCATAGAATGTAAAAGTGCCCTACAATAATATTTGAAAACAAAGACACAACCCACCCACAAGTCAAACATTACATCATGACAGTTGGCCATCACTAAAGAAAATAAAATCTTTAAAAGCAAGGAGGGGAAGCCACAGTAACACGTTTTCAAAGGTGTTCTACAAAAAAACATCTGTAAGACCAATGCACAAGATTTATTACTCCCCGTTTCCAAAACCCAAAATTTTCTGTTCACCGTATATAGGTTTACCTATATAAGTGGCCATCATCTTGAAAGTCCTCTTTGCCCCATCTTCCTTTAATATCTTCAATAACATGATTTTTCAGGAATTTTTTAAGCAGCTTAACCGTTTGATTTCGAGTCACTTCTGGGCCAAAGTTTTGATTAGAGCCAAGCAGTTCATGTAAACAGTCCACTGCCTCCGAGGCTTTGAAGCAACGCTCGTAGCTTTTGAAGCGACACCGATGCTTCCGTAAAGGCATCCCAGCGCGAAAAAGCTCTATTATCTCATTCCACTGGGGAAGAAAAACAAAGCGAGCGGTTACCGGACCTGTTCTTCGAAAAGCATTTCAGTTGTACAAAGCGAGCGGAGGATGCAGCCAGACCTGAAAGCAGAACTACATACTTTTTTAGACCATCTGCGTTTGCAAGCACACTGAAATTTAACTATGATTTAAACAGTTGAGATCTGAGAACAAACGCCAGATTGAAGAAGCCGAACGATCAAGAGCCCCATAACACCTACAGCTCTACGGTTACAGCTTTAAACGGCGCTTGGCTTTTAACTTGAAAAGAGGATGGACTAAAGGCTCGGCCTGGGGAGCAACAACACCCGGACGGCGGTTGGGCCCCCCCCCGCCGGGTCCGGACCGAAGACCAGCTGCCCAGGACAAGGCCCAGGGCCCGCCCAGGCTGACGACGCTCGGCGCTCAGGCCGGCCGGTCCCCCAGAGCCTCTACCGAGAGCCGCCGTCGGGC